CCATTGCATTTTTATGGGTAAAGAAGGAAGGAAATAGTCTATAAAAATGAGTCCACTAAGATCCCAACCATACATCTTTCTAAGGAGGGTGGTGTGCCATTTTCTTTGGATAGATAATGAAATATCACTTCTCATCGTGGCCTTCTTTTTGTTCAGAGCAATTACTGGGCTGGTGTCCTGCTTTAGCCTCAAAACAATAATGAAAGAAAAATTCATTTAACTTTGAAGGCACTAAAAGTCTCTGCCTTTGAATTGAAAATTTAGCATGATCATAGTCATTTGGATGCCATAATCAGCTGGGTTACTGTGGAAATTGAAAGGTTGGACATGATGACGCATGAGGTTTTCATTTGCAATCACGCAGACGCATGAAAGTTAAACATGAAGAGCTATTTGAAGAATTTAGCAAGTTCTCTTACACTATTTTACTTACTGGAAATCTTGTACTTCCTTAAACCATCTGAAGTGAGTTATTGGAATAAGTTTCATACTGTGAAGCTTGGAAGTTGCTTCCTCCACTCTACTTGGTGCTTTTCATTTGCACAGAAAAAAAAAAAAAGTTCAGGTTTGTTTTCTCCATTTCCAAGATACATGACATCTTCATTTTGGTGTTGATTACCAGTCTTTTTTTTCTTCTGTTTTCTTTCTTTTTCTCTGTTTTATTTCTTCCCCTCCCCTTCTGTCTTTTGCCTTATGTTCTTATTTTTAAGTCACTGGTGAGTTAATGGATATATACTTTAATGAAACAAAAGAATGAATTAACAAGGGGCAGTCAGAAAGACAATGCTGTAGCTTACACATAGGGTATGCATTCTTTAAAGATTGATCCTTGGGCTTTCAACTTGTCTGTGTCATCAAACCCCAGTATAATCAATCTTACTGTTTGAAATGAACATATATGCTATCCTTGCTTTTATAAGGACAAAGACAACCTTACCTGTAAACAGACACAGAAGTAATAAATGAAGCAGCGACATAGAGGAAACAAAAAATTTTTTTATCCTGTCTCGAAGTTGAAATGATTATACTGAGGGCCAAGAGATTAAATTGTGTCACTTGTCAGGAAACTGGCAAGCAGCCATCTTTTCTGTCTGCTTGTACACTCTGCTTTTGTGCTGTGGATGGGTTTAATAAATGCACTGTTGTGTAAAATGTCATTGCTGCATTGCCGAATGGAGGATGTCATGTGATAGCTCTTCCCCAGGATGACATATCAATATTGGTCCTTAACAATCTAGGGACTTGAAGCTACACAGAGGGCATTTTTATGATTCAGATACAAAGACAGAGATAAAAATCAATCTTAAAGGCATCAAACTCTATTTATTTTTCTCTAAAATAAAAACCTAATGTTCTTTCCAAAATGTTCTTATTCTTAAAGAGAAGTAATGCTATCAAATTTTAATAACTACTTCTAGAAGGCAAAATATAAAGGACTAGTAACATTTTTTAGGTTCCATCTTATCGCTAATCAAATAAGTACAAAGGAATGCAAAGAAATGGACAATTGTTTTCTTCAGAAAATAGCCCCAAATTATATTTGGGTGAGCACATGGAATACTGACGACATATTGTAAAATAGGCATTCTCTAATATGATGGGTGGAAACAAGGGATTATACAAGGATGTGGTGAGGGGGCTCATCTTAGAATTTTTCCTACAGTAGTCTCTAGTCCTGGTTGACAGGAATTTGTGACTCAGGTTCAGCATTCTGCTAAAATGGCTGAATCTGAGTGAATGATATCCAGAGCTGTGCACTTCACAGAGCTCATTCTAACCAACTCTCTCACTGATCTTTCTCACAGGCTTCCCGAGACACACACTCTTAGCTACCACTGAGGCAACTGGAAGACAGAGAGATTAACAAGAGGCCCAAAGTCACATAGGTAGGAAGCAGAACTTGAAAGCCAGTTCCTGATCCCCAATAGTATGGTCTTTTCCCTACATCTCTTCTGGGACAACCACTGAGATCAAAGCTCAATTTGGAGTCTCAATCTATTTAGTTAGAAAGTTATCACTTTCTCTGTGTCTTAAACCTGCACTCTCACTTCATTCTGGATATAAAATTTAGCATGCATAGAAAAGGTTTTCATAATGATCCCAGGATTTCCAGAACGATAGAAATATTCTTGTTCTGTAGCTGCCTAGAATATTAACATAAACTTAGCAACTTAACACCTGTTTCCATCTTTTGAATACCCTTAATTCTATGCCAGAGTATGAATGAGAGAAAAACGGATATGAGAAGATAGAAACATGACCAGGTGAGGCGTTGAACACCTGTAATCCCTATTACTTGGGAGGCATAGATCTGGAGGATCAAATTTGGAGGTCAACCCAGGCAAAAAGTTAGCCAGTTCCCATCTCAAACAATAAGCCAGGTGTGGTGGGGCACATCCATAATGTTAGCTATGCAGAAGACAGAAGAAGAAGGATCATGGTCTGAGGCTGACCTGCCAAAAACATGAGATCCTATCTGAAAAATAGCTAAAGCAAAAAAGGCTTCAGGCATGCTGAATGCATGGCTCAAGTGGCAAAGCACCTGCCTAGCACCTGCAAGGCTCTGAGTTCAAACCCAAAAAAGAGACAGGAACAAAAAGCTTAGAAAGAGACATAGAGGGTAAATGAAGACTTAAGAAAAATATGGAAGGGGAAGGAAGGAGGGAGTAGATAAAAAGAGAAAGAGAGAGGAGAGGGAAAATTGCCGATAGAGAGGGCAAAACCAGAGAAAAGGGAAATTGGGCTAAATTTATCGGGTACCTACTGTGCCTGGCATAGCTAAAGATTTGGGTCATCGCCCTGAATCCTGAGAAAAACTTAGTGACATGGTATTATTGTCACTATTTTATGAGTGAGAAAACAGTAGCTGAGTTTCACTTGTCCAAGGTCAATTATGTTCGTCCATAGACATTAGAACCCATATCTTCTCAGAGCTTATGAATGTCCTCTTCACATGTCCTCAAGAATAGCGATGAGATGAAAAGAACTCTGAGTCTGCTGGTCCAGCCTCAAACACTGTTCCACTCACACTGAGAGCCATGTTTAGATGGGCTTAGTTGGAGCCCAGGTGTTAGTGTCTCAGAATATTCACTACACTACTGTGTCAAAACATTCGGATTCTAAACTTGAACCCCAAATGTTTTATGCCTCAGGATGTCACTCTTCTTAGCCTATGCATTCCTCTCTGTAAAATGTGGTCCTTAGATTAGGTCAACTGTCACATTTGATGTCATACTGCCAGATTTTTGACTGATCGTTATTCTTTCCTTTTATTTATTTTTTTTGGTGGTACTGGGGTTTGAACTCAGGGCCTTGTGTTGCTACACTGGTGTTCTACCACTTGAGCCATGCTATCCTCCTACCTCTGCCTCCTGGGTAGCTGGGTTTTTCAGACATGAGCCACCATGCCTGGGTCTGCTTGTTATTGTTGGACTCTTAGATGTCCCCGCGCCACTCAAGTGCACGGCAGGAAGCAGTAAGGTGGGGTTTGATACGAGCCAACACAATCCACCTCATGGTATGTCTTTCAGACCTCTCACTCTTCAACATGGGTATTTCTTCACTTTGAAAATAATTTAGTCAACTCAAACAGGAAATTCTGTTGTCAAAAAGCATACATTTCCTGTGGAAGTGTCTCTCCTTGATGACAGGATATGCAGCTATAACTGGAAAAATGTGATTCTCTTCTACAAGCTGTCAGAAGCAATCACTGCACTGGAACTCTCAGAAAAAGTGACTTTTTGAAAGAAAAACAGCAAACTAGCTTATTCATGCTTAATGAAAACACAGACTACAGAAGTTTACATTTCTGCCACTTAGGTCACATTCCTCAATGACATTCTATGAAAGTTGAAGTCATCCTCACCCACAGGACCTGCTGTGCTATCTAACAGACTTTCCTAGACCAAGCTTGAGTCAGGTGTCTCTGAGCCCTCTTCTTAACTAGGCTTCCATTCTGGGCTCTGTCTTTGGCCCACTTAATCCAATCATAGCAAGAAGTCTACTGAGTCAGTTTAGCAAAACTCCTTCATCCTTGATAATCTGCTCAGTTTCCTCATATTCTACCCTTAATCTTAGCACCTGTGCTGCCTTCAACAAGAATTCTATCAAGTCTCTTTAGCCATAATCTCTCTTCTCCCTGATGTTCTTCTATTCCCTGAAGTCCTACCCATTTGTCTATACGATCCCATTTGTCCTTGTCTTCATGAATAGGTTCTCTATCTCCTGTATTGTAAAATCTTCAGTGAATAAACAGGAATCAAGAGTAACTTTTCTTTAACATATCCTTCTTATACCTCCCAACCTCCCTCATTAATTTCTCATCTTCCTCTTCTCTTTTTCACTTTCTTTCTTTCTGTCTCTCTGTCTGTTTTTTAGTGGTTCTGGGGTTTGAACTCAGAGTCTCACACTTGCTAGGCAGGCGCTCTACCACTTCAGTCATTCCACTAACTCTTGTACTTCTTTATTCATTCAAAAACTCATCCAGGACTATTCCAGTTCATATTTGTAGGGTTAGTGAGCTATTAATTATCTTTTAAGACCAGAATCTTCCTATGGAATAATTTCTCTGATACAGTCTTTCCAAGCATCTAGAGAAAGTCCTATGCGTACTGAATCCATGAATAAATACGGTGTGTATAATACTGCATAATTTTCTAATACTATTTACAGTGCATTGTTTTCACACATTATTTGGTCATTAATTTATATTCTTATCCTTTACAACTAGACTAAAGCCCCCATAAGAACAAAGATACATCTGCATCCCTTCCTCGCAGTAGGTGGGCCAGTGTCATATTTGGAAGCTATTAGCAAACACAAATGAAATACTAGCTGAGATTCAGTAATTAGCAAAAGGTTTGCAAAGTCATCAGAGAAGGCTGGCTTTGACAAACTTCTCTTTCAAGTACAGAAGTCTTGTAGGATTATTATTCCCAAAGGTACAAATGTATCTCATCGATGCAGCAGATGAACTTTCCAAATCATTCTGATGTCCATACCTGAGTCGGCCATCCTCTGCTGCAGCACCTCCTGGTATAATCTTTGTAATAAATATGCCAGGATCATCTCCAATGTGAGGATTATCTGTTCCTCCAGCAATACTGAATCCCAGGCCAGAATTGCCCTGCAGAAACAATAAGCAGACATTAAATGATGTGGCTGTCACCTAAAACCTAGTTCCTTTTGCACTGTGTTATCATGTTACTGCTCAAATGGAAATCAGGTGGTAAGAGTCTTGTATGCAAAGCCATAAAATGCACAGTCAGCAGATAAAGGAAGGTCAGGAAAACACTCTGCTCTCAAGGGCAGTACGTTTTTGCTTTTGAAAGGTGCATCCTTTGTGCAGCAATTGGAATGATCATTATGAATTAGGAAATAAAGGCTTACAGATTAGGTAATATGAAAAATACGAGTCCCTAGAACGTCAATTATAAAAATTATACGCTTCTGCAGAAACAATGGAAAGAAACAGGTTATCTTTAAGGTTATAGAATAGTGAAATTCGGGTGTTTTCATTTTGTTATTTCTACTTGAGTTGTTCTAATAAGGCATATTCATCAAATAAATGTGTTTCTGTACACATTCACTTTAGAAGTTAACACATTGAGGCATTTTCAAGAGTAAACAAGCTCTCATTTGCAGTGGCAATAGACAAGGTGTGCAGTAATGCTTGCAGCATTAAATTTGAGTAATTTATGCTGCAATAAACCATTCTTATTTGTGTAGGTTATAAAAATTGACATCTAGTATACATATAGCCTTCCAAAAATTTTATGTGAGACATAATTAAAAGTCCCCTCAAAATTCACATACCTTTTTACTTAACACATTTCTAATTACACATTATCTTTTAATTCCTGTTCCTTGGCTACATTACATTTTCATAATTGTGTTCTGGTATTTTTCCAATTCACATTACATTTTCAGCCCTTTCTGTACAAATGGGCAGTCTTTAATTACCCATTTAAAGCAACTAAATATTATTTCATTAAGGTCAAATGCTATCATTCATTTAACTGTTCTCCTGGATACTTGACTTCTCTATATACTCTTATAACAAATATAGGATCAGTGAATTAAGTTCCACTCTTAGGTAAAAAGAGATGAAGACAAAGAATTTAACAGTAAATTCTGAAAAATTAATTAAGACACTCAATTAGTTAGAAAAAGTTCAATGTCATGATAAACTCAGATATAATGTGATAGTTATGCTACTCTCAATTTCAAGTTAATGTTTAAAAATGTTTATTGGTTGAATTAATAAAACTGAAATCCAGAGGATTATTTTCACATTGTTCTTGAAAGGTTAAAATGAAAAATTCAGCCAGAGCAACTAAAATCTCATGTCTTTATACTTCTGACATGGTCTCTAATTCTGCTTTTTCTTAGAAAAATTCCAATGTTCACTGAACACAGAAGCTACTTAAAAGTAATCATGTAAACGTTAGCTTTTAAAAAAGTATTTATTAGGCACTAGACTAAGCTCTGGAGTGACAGCTATAAATATCTTGGTATATGAGGCTTATGAAGGGGAAGTGTAGAGTGTAGGAATGGCTAAGAAGAAAGCCAAACATAGTGACTTAGTGACACAGAGGGAAGAGCATAGTAACAGAGAGAGAAGAGCTCATGTAAAATCCTGAGGTGAAGAAGGACCAGGTCCAGGAAACAGACAATAAAGGTGGAACAAGGAAAACAAGGAGAATTATATGGGATACATCTTAATCATGAGGTTTATTGAGAGTAGAATGTATGGCAATCCGTTTGAGGTTATAAGGAACTATTGCCACCAAGAGTCTATATCAATATTGTTTGAGTATCTCTTCCATGACTGACCCTAACCCAAAGCTACAAGACATCGAGAGCAGATGATTTCTGCCCTCATGGAATTCTAGGCATAGCAGAAAAGGCAGTAATAGCCTGGCATCTTGTGATGAATACAGATTCATAACTTCAAGTACATTGTCGTGTATGTAGCCATGGAGACAGCACACAGGTGACTTATGAGGCATTTTTCTCTCAGATTCAGAAGTTTTGGGGAAAAGTGGGATGGGAATATGAGTATCTTCCACCTAATTTGAGTATAGCTCCAAGAACAACAGTTGGAGTACATTAGTGTTACTAGAATTAGCACCTAAGGAATTATAATTTCTTTGGTTAATTGGGCAAGGAAGGAAGCAAGTAGAGACTGGGAGATAGACAAATGTTTTCTCCTGAAATAATCAATATGTTTGGAGAGGGTACACACAATTTTGTCATTTGAGAAAGACCCATGAACTAGATCTTAACCTGGTCTACTTTATTTTCAGCTTCATACTCTAGCCTCTAGAACACAGAACTGAAATGTTGGCTCTGTTCTGCACAAACCATACTTACTGTACCTCCTCTCTTGGCTTTTACTCATGCTCTCTTCTCTACCAGAAACTTCCCATCCCACAAGACTAGCCCAATTCTTCACATTTTCTAGGATATTTATGTATCAATAAATCATAGTTACAGAATACAGTTATAATATGATTTTTAAATAAAATTTGAAAAGACTAAATTAGTGAGTTAACATATCTGTCTCTTCAAATATTTAGCATTTCCATGTGATGGAGTCATTAGCAACTTACTCTCAGCCATATTGAAATATAAAGAACTCAATTATTAGTTACATGTATCCTGATATAAAATTGATCTAGAAAAATTAAGCTTATTCCTTCTATCTAAGGCTTCACTCACTTTGACTATCATCCCATTCCTTCTACTCTCAGCCTCTGGCAACCACCATTCTTCTATCTGCCTCTATGAGTTCAAGAGTTTTTCATTCAAATACATCTAAGAACATACAGGATTCACCATTTTGTGTTTGCTTTAGTTCACTTAGCTAATGTTCACCAATTCCATCTATGTTACCAGAAGTGGTAGAATTTCTGTCTCAATGAATCCCCCTTGTACAACAAATATATCCTAATAAAAAAAAAGTAATGATAGAATCTCTTCCTTTTTAAAGGTGGAATAGTATTGTGCTGTGTTTACATACCACATTTTCTTTATACATTCATCCCTTGATGGACATTTACTTTGACTCTCCAACTTGGCTATTTTAAATAATGCTGTACTGAACATGAGTGTCCCTTCAATGGATAAATTCCAAGTCTCTCAGGTAAATAATAAGAGGTGGGATTGCTGGATCACAAGGTAATTCTATATTTGGTTTCTTGAGGAATCTCCATACTGTTTCTATAATGGTCACATTAATTTCCATTCCTACCAACCAAATATAAAGGTTGCTTTTTTACCCCATCCTCTGAACAATTCTGTTGTTAATAGCCATTCTAACAGATATGAGGTGATAAATCATTGTGGTTCAATTTATATCTTTTTTAGTATTTTAAATAATAATCCTTTATTAGGCTCACAAATATTTTCTCCCAATTCATATCTGTATTGTCATTGTTAATTGTGTATCTTTGCTCTGTGGCCTATACTTTAGGGATCAAGTGAAAAACAAAAAACAAAAAGCAAAAACATTGCCTAAACCGTTGTTGGTTTTCTCAAGTCTCATGTTTAAGTCTTTACTCCATTTTGCACTGATTTTTATATGTGGTATGACCTAAGGGTCTAATTCTACTCTTTTGCACATGGATAATCGGTTTTTCAATACGATTTACTGAAGAGACTATGGTTTTTTCATGTATATTCTTGACACCTTTTTCAAAAACGAACTGACTATAAAAAGATGGGCTCTTTTCTGAGTTCTCTATTTTGTTCCACTATTTTATGTTTATGGTTTTATGCCAGGACCTTGCTGTTTTAATTACTATTGCTTTGGCTTTGTAGGATAGTTTGAAATCCAGTAATGTGATGCCTCCAGGTTTGTTCTTTTTCTTACAATTGCCTTGGCTATTTCTGTGGTTCTCTAAGAATTCTAGGATTGCTTCCCCCATCCCCATATCCACCAGAAATGATACCAGAATTTGATTTTTCATTGAATTTGTAGAACTCTTTGAGTGATATGGACATTTTCACAATATTAATTCTTCTAAATCACGAACACAGGATTCATTTTCATTTATTCATGTCTTCTGAAATTTCCTTCATTAATGTTTTATAGTTTTCAGTATATAAGTCTTTTATCTCTTTGGTTAAATCCATTATTAAGTCTTTTTGCAGCTATTTTAAAGGGATTTATTGTCTCAATTTCTTTTCAGAAAGTCAATTGTTAGTGTAGAGAAGTACTACTGATTTTTAAGTTCTTCAACTTTACTGAGTTTGTTTATCATTTATAACACATTTTTTGGGGGAATCTCTAGTGTTTACTAAATATTAGATCATATCATCTGCAAAGAGGGATAATTTAACTTCTTCCTTTCCAAGTTACATGTTTTTCATTTCTTTCTCCTCTCTAATTGTTCTAGCTATGACATCCAGCACTATATTGAAAAATGGTGAGAACTGGCATTCTTGTATTGTTATGGATGTTTGAGAAAAGCTTTCATCTTTTCTGTTTGAGATCAGAAATTCAGGGCAAGTTATACTCTGTATCTAATTCTTTTCATTGAGGATTCCCTGATCCATTTGCCCTTTTCCTTGGAGTAGGTTTGGAGTCAGGGGAATGGATATTAGGGGATGTCAGAGCCACCATGTTCTCCATATTGTAGTCAACTCTAAAAACAGTGGTTAAATATTCCTTTGTTGTTATCAAAGCTATTTATTCAAAATTTTATTGAATCACAGAATAAGTTTTAAAAATGAAGCAATGCTCTATTTCCCTGGCTACAAATTCCAAAAACATTAATTTTTCTCTGCTGCAAGAGCAGTTTTCCTAATACTAATTTTGTCTGTGGATTTGTTATAGTATGGCCTTTATCATGTTGAAGTACACTGCTTCTCTCCTTAAATTTTTTATATTTCTTTCTTTTTTTTAATTGTTGTGCTGGGTGGGGATACATTTCTATACCTAATTTGTCGAGATTTTTTTTTATTATGAAAGAGTATTGAATTTTGTCAAATATTTCTTTTTACACTTTGTGAGATAATCATATGATTTTTGTCTTCATTCTGTTATTGTTGGTGTATCACATTTATTGATTTGCATATGTTAAACAATGCTTGCCTCCCAGGGGTAAATCCCACTTGATT